AAAATAACTATAACACTGATATTCACCTGTACATCACTATTGGTTGATCCATCTGATCAAAAAAGGTGATATCAGGGTCCCTGTATGAAGAGGATTAAATGTAGTGAATCACTGACCGTGCAGTGAGTGCTGGGAATATATCATGTACTGTATGTTCACCTCTTGTCCTGTCGAAAGTTGTGTCTGTGAACCTGCTGCAGGTAGCGTTTAAATTCATGCTCCAGTGAGTTGACCAACAAGACGTGACTGGGCTCCTTATCCAATAGCTGGGTTGCCCGGGGGACGGAGGTCAGGAAGGACATCAGACTGGACATACGACCATCATGAAAGTCCTGCATCCAGGATTTAGACATGGATACACAGAGGGGGGGGATAAAATAAAATTAAAGCAATAGTTACCATATGACAAAGTGCTTTAATGTTCCCCTCTATGGTCAAACATAAATTACTTAATCTGGAACTCACGTTACATTTGTGATTATGACTTAAATTATTCTCACTTCGTGCTGAGCCAAAAGTACAAAAAGTTCTCCACTTTGGAGAATTCAAAACCTCTTGACATATTGTGGGTGTTTTATTTGAAGTTCCCAATCTTCAGTTGAATCAAATTAACTGGCTAAAGCTATTACATGAGTCTGGGCCTTTGAAGACACAAACACTGTGCAATGTGTTAGAACAAACAGCAGAGGGCAGCAGTTTCCTGCCCATAATGACTAAAATAACCAGGTGTCTTACCAGCTGGCCTTTAAAAACCTGCACATCTTTGGGTGAACCCTGGTGAAAGATAACCAACAACCATCACATATGCCATACAAAATATATATTTATAATACATTATTATAATATCATTAATATTTTGTGTCTGTATCCTGATTGTCTACATGCACCCATGAATGTACTTACTTTGTCAGAGAGATTGTACATATACTGTGCCAGGGCTTCTGCTATGATGATTCCATTGCGCTTCATTTTCCTGAAATCCACCTGTGACCTGTGAGAAGTAATGTTACCATGTTCAGGCAACAGCCATTCTAGAATGTGTCTCTAAATCATCTTCTTTAAATGATCAAAGTAACTCGAACAGTTCAGAACCAGAGTTCAGCTCCTACATTGTGTCCAGTACTGAGCCCCGCTGCTCAGATTTGGGGTCGTCCAGGTGAGACAGAGTGAATCCAGGGATCCGACGCAGACTGTAGCGCTCGTGTTCCCAGGCCACAGTGGACTCCACCAGGTTGATCTTCTTATGGACCAAACCCACCTTCACCCAGGGGAATCTGGAGGAGACTACCTGCAGGAGAGACCAGAAACCTCAAGCATCAGGTCATTTGGACTGAAGAGACTTTAATGAGCATTTTCTTGCAGTAAAATATGCTACCTCCTCCAGGAGTTGCATGAATGAGTGCATGGGAGTGTCGGGTTTAGGAGGCCGGGACACATGCATGTACAGTTCATCAGCGTTGGCCAGTGTGTCCAAACACAGGACAAACGCCACATTGTCATGAAGCAGGCTGGACTCTGGGGGGGACATGATTGGTTAAAATAAATAGTGGACAGTTCATGTTTAAGTTCCTATTGTCACACACAGCTGACTCGCCACATGGTCAGTGGGTCACAAGGTCAAAAACTCACCTGCGTGGTCCAGATTCTCTTCAATCCACCTCTTTGTGCCGAGAAAGTTGTATTTTCCACCTCCAGTCAGAGAGAACATTAGATTATATCTAAAATACAAAAACCAATCGGAGGAGTTCATCGATAAAAGTTTTTATCCATTGTTCATTCACTGTTCAAATACTTTTTCTAATAACATGATGTGAGCTACTTTTTCAGATGATAAAAAATGTCTTGAATAGTTTGGATCAGTATTCAGCAGTATGTATATTCAGTGGATCATTTTGTCTGACCATGCCACTCAATAAAATATTCTAATAATACTAAATGCTTGTATTATTAGCAGGTCTAAGTAGATCATACACTCAAGTAGTTGTATCAATATCACACAGAAAAACCCCATTACAAGTAAAAGTGCTGCTTACCTAAGTAAAAGTAAAAAGGTATTTTTAGGACAGTTTCACTTATAGAATCAAACGTAAAGTACTCGTAATGTTGAAAAATGCTCCATGTCAGCATTTTCTAAAGTTGCAAAAATGGAAATACTCAAGTAAACTACAAGTACATTGAATTTGTACAGGACTTGAGTATTTGTACATCGCAGCACTACATGTATTGACCAAACTATATAAGTTTTGTTTTGTTAAAATGAGAACTCACTGGGGTCTGGTGCTGGAGCTACTATAAAGCATCTGGAAGAGACGTGCGAGCTCCAGCAGGATGGTGACCCCACTGCCATTAGAGTCTGCTCCATGAGACAACCACTGTGTGACATGCAAACACAAGCATAAACATGCATGAACAGTTTATTATTGTGTCAGTGCTCATATTTTAAACGATGGTTGGATGATGGAAACTTTATATGTGACTCACAGGGGCCAGTCCATATGAATCATAGTGGGCAGTGATGACAATCGTTGGTACATCTTCCCCAGTTCCTGGAAGCACTCCCTGAAATACACATCACCAGTTACACAGTGACCAACTGAGGATTGATCACAAACTGAATTCATCAGGTCCCACACTAACCTCCAGTGTGGATATCGACGTGTCAGTTATGGGCTTGATGGGGGCGTTGTTGCTCACTAGGATCTGAAAGGCTGTAGCTGTGATCATACTTCGGAGGACTGAAATCATTGAAAACATACAGATTTAAAACAAATAGACATGATTGCTGCTTTTTCTACCATTTCAGTCCCTTGTATCCATTCTACAACTTTTTCTTTTTGTGCTCTGTCCATACTTAACTGTTTCTCACACATCCTCTTGCTCCTCTTACCTCGGATCACTATAGATGAGGTTCGGGTGGCTGCGGCCTGCTTGACCTCCTCATACATGTAAAGCAGCTGCTCATCCTCAGGCACCACATAGACGGGCATGAGTGTCTCCTTCAGCAAGGTCTCACTCTCACTCACCATGAAGGACTGACAGAAAAAAAGATTGAATAAGAAGTGCCTGTTCTTTCATTTCCATAGCAATTGTTTGATGTTCCATAAAAACTGCCTCAGCAGGCTGTTACCTAATACCTTAGAGAACACATACAGTGTATATTACCCAGTTTCCTTAATACTGTCTGGTTAAAAGATCCTTTTTTTGTTGTTCTGTCGCTTAAAGAATATTTTTGGAAAAGCCTGCTACCTGAACAGTGTCATGGGGGATACTGGACATATTCCTGGGCAGCAGGATCAGTACGGAAGCAGCATTCTGTCTCTGGGCCTCCAGATATTTTTCTGTGGTAAAGTCCGACACCTTCATGACGACACAACGACGGGTCAGCACTGGCTCTTCGGCCGCACGTGCCTCTGCTACCACAATGGCTCCACGGCAACCTCAGTGTAGGAGGAAGATTATTATTATTATTAGATTTTATTATTAGATTATCTATAGCATAGATTTTTACTCTGTTATGTTTCAGAGAGAAATATCAGTTTATTATTTACTCCTACTATTGTACAGCTGTATTTATTAGTTACTTTGCAGATCGATCAGTAAGAGTTTTAAAATATTCCTTAAATGCTAATGCACTAGTAATAATAATCAGACAATATAGTATATATTTTATTTTACACTCTGATTGTGGGTTGATGAATATTGTAATATTTTGGTACAACAGGGAATTTTGGATTTACTGAGGAAGATGGTCTAAGTACTTCTACTACTTTGTCTGCTCTCCTCCCTTTAAATAAGTCCAATTTAAACTTGGATGCATTTTGTATGTTAATCAGTAAAGAGCAATAAAATCAACTTAATTTATCTTATCTGTCAATGAAGTCTGTCTCATTCAGTATATGTGTGTGTCCTTTCATTATAGGATATAAAGAACAATAATTAATAACAATCATTTTCCATGCGGTGTCCTTGTAATTTTGTGTAAGATGATAACACCAGCACAAAGGCATCTGAAGTTATTTCTACCTCAAAAGTGCAGTAGTTGAATAAATGTAATTACTCTTCCTTCCACTGGAGGTGAGTCTCTGAACCTACCATGCTTCTGTTGGGACAAGTTGTACTGTTGCATCCTGTAAGCAGTGAACTCATAGGAGGACACAGCAGGAAGAGCAGAGCCCTGCAGACCCTGGACACAGAGCAGCAGCACCACAGCAGCTACACCCGGCTCTTTCAGCAGCATGATGTCAGTCTCAGACTATGAAGGGAGGTCGACGTTAGGTCCAGAATACACACATCGAAGAGCACAGCACACATATAACAAGCATATAGACCAGGTTTGGCACAACAGGTTCATCCAAATCTCTGTGGTATACAGTAAAAGAGCTGATGCATGATGCATTTCATCCTGACATGTATTAGACAGGAACCTTATCTCTGCCAACTTGAACTCCCATTGACTGACTCCCCCACTGATATTCTCCACCTTTGAAACCTGAACTCATCTATCAACAAGCAGCATCCTGTTGGGTATTGAATTGTTCCTCACCTGTCTCCCTGCCGTCCTGTCTCATGAGCCTCCCTACTACAGGTTCCTCAACTTCAGTGCTGGTCCTCGCAGCGTGGACTCACACTCCTGCAGCTACTGGGGTTTTTAAGGCATCTAGGTAAGCCACCATCTGCTCCTGAGGGATCAACTCAGAGCTAATCACAAATACCCAACCCCCCCAGCCCTCACACTCACTCACTATTCACATTGTCTAAGTATATGGATCCCTCCTCTCCTCTCCTCTCCTGCGATGTTACACTCATTTACTTCACTTCAGCAGTAAGAACACATAAACCAGTGGAGGGTCTGTGTGGGTGGCAGGAAAACTGTTTCGCATCTGTTTAATCCCCTGCAGGGACAACAGTCTGAAGCAGAATGAAGATGTGTTTGGATTGGTGCACTTGAATCTGACTGAGGATGCATATAGATGCTTCACCTCCTTATCAGTCTTTTTATTGGTGGAAAACAGTTTTGCTGTTTATGGTCTCAAGCAAAAAAATGTGCAATGAATTTACAGAAGCATGTGGAAACATCAAAATTCCGATATCTAATATTTATTATTTGTCATATGTTGCACTATACACAGAACTTTAACACTGTTAAAACCTAAATGGAACCAGTACACAATCATCATAATAAAACATCTGACAAATAAAAAGCATCTGTTTGTATATGGATTATTTCCCATACATGGAAAAATAAATTAAAACACACGCAACTGCAAATAAATAGCTTGTTACAATGCATTACATTAGTGTCCAAATCTCAGGAGTACAGTGCACACAACCTGTTTGAGTGGATGATATTAATGATTAAAATTAATGAAGCACCATAATCAGTCACAGTCAGGACCTCATCATTGTTAATGTTGTACTGTAGTGTATACAGCCACTGCTCTAACACACACCTCAGCTGGAGGCGTTGGTGACATATCACCTGAACTACTGCACCGTAACATTATCTACACATATGGCACCTTATATGCAAAAAAAATCAGTTTGTGTACTTTTGTAAATCAAATGATGCATCACTATCAGCGATTCCTCTCTTATCCACACATCTGTCATTTCAGAGTCGTACATCACACACTGAACCTTCATTCAATGAATGGTGAAATATATGAACACATGGAGAAAAGCATCAGTTATAAAAGATGAGGTTTCCCAAAAACACCATTTTATATCAAAACATGTTACTAGAAATGAGATTGCACTGTAGATGCAGACACTATGTAATATCCCATGTAAAAGTGTAAACACAATACACTGCACATGACCATGAGGAAATAACTTGGACCAGTGTAACATGTACACATGCCTTAAACTGTAGTTCGGTCAGGGGGACTGACAGCAGAATTAATTTGATTTGAATTGCAATGGCAGGTGGTGCAGTGGTTAGCACCTCAGAGCAAAAAGGTTCAGTGATTTTGTAAGATTCAATATGAAAAGGAGGTGCTGGGGTAAAGGCAGGTTGAGAAGTGGGCCAGCTAAAGCATCTTAAATAGAGTGTGCAATATCAGCTTTGCCACTTGAATGAATAGGAGGGGATCAGCTGAGCCGCCAGTTGATGCGGGCTTCCATTAAGATCTGCTGCTGTCAGCTTTCATACTGGATTGTGGCTCAATTAATAGTGATCTGCCTTAACTAATGCTAAGATCAACTTATATGAAAAGCTATCTTTCCCATTAGCTGGATAAAAGCTAAAAAGATAAGGAAGTTAGAAATATGTAAATGTTTTTGGGAAACCCACTTCCACTGAGAAGATTAACATGCAATCGACTAGAGAACAGCTGACTGAACTGAAAGCTCCAGATATGTCTTCAGAATGATGTAAACATGGCAACAAAAAAAGGGTATTCAGTACTTCTATACAGCAAGGACTACTTCCTTTTCAACATAATGGAGAATATCCATTGGCATAAAGCATTGACAATACACAGCTGTGTCAGGTGCTACATATACACTTCTTGTCCCAGAGTCGGACAAATGTTGTTTTCGACCTCTAGGAGGAGTACGCGTGAATATACAAACATAGAAAACAAATACACTTAAAACAGAACTTAAAAGAAAGGAGAACATTTTAAAAATTCCTTTTGTATACCAGAAAAAAAATCCCATTTCATTTCCATCCAGGCAACATGAAATCCCTTTGTACGCATTCTCATGTATGATCAAAAATTCAACAATTCTCAGTGTATCTGCACATTATCTCGAGTCTTTTATCCATTCACTGATTCCCTTAATTATATGAAGTGTTTTATAACCACGTTCACCAGTGTGGCACCTGCTTCTGCAAATAATTTAAACATCCTCTCATGTCGGGGCTACCAACAGCAGGTACACACAAACTCGTGAGCTGTTCCTGCCACTGTCTTTAAATCACTACATCTACTGATACTACAGTAGGTAAACCTAAATATTACCAAGTGCACCTCACATAATGTCTCATTAGCACAAGGACGTGTGTGTGGGGGGGTCAATAAAAACAGAGGAATCATCTGCACAGGCTGCTCATTAGACAATAGTGTTAACAGGCAACATGCAAAACTATTTGTTTTCAGCTTCTTTTAACTGAATAGGGAACAGTTAAGCAGTACGACCTTGGTTTAACATTCAAACATTTAAAAAATAAATCTGGCATTAGTATTTCAATGTTGTGAATGGGGCAGCATGGTTTGAACCAACTGGGTTTGAACCCCAGTTCAACTAGGCCTTGCTGTGAGGAGTTTGCATGTTCTCCCCATGCCTGCGTATTCACCGGCTTCTTCCCACAGTCCAAAGACATGCAGGTAACTGGCAACTCGTAGTTTTGGGCAAATGCTTGTTTAGCCTGTGATAGACTGGCTAACCCTCATCCTAAAGGCCCGGTCACACATTCACAAATGTGTTTGCTTCCTGTAAATCTTTTATCTGAGCGAGCGAGGGGGCGAATAAAACATGCACTTCCTGTGCCGAGGCAAATCGCAGTGTGACCTCTTGTGAAGTTCAACCTTGGTGTACCTGCGATATTCACTTTGCAATTGTGAATGTGTGACCGGGCCCCAACTCTCAAAATGATAAGCAGTATAGTTGATGGATGGATGGATGTTGTGATTGTGTTTGTAACTTAATGGTTTAGCACTACTTTCCTGGACATAACCAGACACACACATTTCATCTTTCATGTCTGACACGTATACATGGGCAGACAAAACAGACTGGCAGAAAGAAATGATGGGAAAAAAACAATGGCCACAACATCCGATCCATTCCCGTCCATTAATCTCACCATCAATGACGCACAAGCAGAAAAAAAGTACTTTCCGTGGGTGGGTTCACTACCGATGATGACACCTCGTCACCATTACATGCATTTGGTAGAGTTTCTGTCATCCCATTCTATTTTTGTCCCTCTTCCTGCACAATGTTGCACAATCCTTCATCGTCCTCATAACAGAAAATATCCACAAGCATGACATGGATGTCGAACAAAGGAGAAGCAAAAGTGACACGTCGTCATTAGAGGTAAAGTTTCTGCCATCAGTCGAGGCCCTGCAACTACGCAGAAGTGAAATGCACAGATCCAACCATAGGAGGAAGGTGCACAGATACTGTACATTTTCTCAAGACTTCACCTACTGTATATCCTTTTCTCATTTTAGCATTTATAAACCCTCCTTTTTTCCCTTTGTGCCTTTGCAAGCTGATAGTTTTCCTCCTTGCAGCCACTCTGCTCAGTAGTTGGCGTCGGTGCAGGTGACAGGCAGGAGATTTTTTTGGGGGGGGGGGCAAAATGGTGCTACTGGATTTGACAGGCTGTGGAGGGAGCAGCCTGACAGCACATGCAGGTGGGGTTCACTGCTTTGGGGGGGATCAGATCCAGGTCCTCGTCGTCTGGGATCTCATCGAGCCGGTAGCCATCCTTTAGGAGCTGGATGTTCAGGTCCTGGTTGATCTGCTGCAGAAGCCAAAGAAAGAAGATGTCAGCAGAGCTTCTGCACGAATTCTTAGAGCTAGGAATGACCTTTTTTTGCCTATTCACATTTTTTTTGTTGGGGTGATCCAAATGAATTATATTTACAGAAACAGAACGCAGCCACATAGGAAACAAACGGGTCTTAGGTGGTAATGGAGGAAGCAAGAGAGAAAAAACCAAACATAAGATACTCCAAGTGGAAAACATGAACGGGGATCAACCTGTGTGAATGAGAAATGGGGATAAATCATTACAGACAACTGTTGTGTGAATGCTGGGCAGAGCCTGTACATTTATTTTTTTAATGGGTGCACATATACCTGGTGTGAACATGGGACTGGGTGATCAGGTGGTGACACTGGTGGGGTGAAGCTGTATTGACTATCAATATAACGTGTGTATAGATACCTGGTCCCTCAGACATCTCACCTCGGCTGAGGAGTATCCTGATGAGGAGTATCTGGACATGTCAAAGTCATCATCACTGAAAGACACGAGGCATCGGGAGTTAGACACAGGAGACGATGGTGTGTGCAACATTAGCACACTGGGAAATTATGATCTGAATCTTTAGAAGGGTAGTTCAGCAACCAACCAACTTAAGACCACTTCCATCACCCTCCCCTTTTAAGCTTGTAGGAGAGCTAACAGTGGTTTTGAGGTAACATAAAAATTCAAAAGGCCCTCTCTAAGAGTGTTTGATTTGTCCATTGTGAGCTACTGTATAAACATGGTAGAGCAACACAGCAGGCTCTGTGGAAGAGGAACTGCTCCCTATTCTTCAAGGTTATAACAGAGTATTAGGGCCACTCATATGACAAAAAGGAGAGTTTTGAGAATTGTATTATCATTTTGAGCATGTCATGATATTATGAGAATGAAGTAGCATTATGAGATAGTAGAATTAGTTATTTCCCAAATTTCTTTCTTTTTCTCAAAATATCATGAGCTTTTTTATCCTTAAGTTATGACTTTATATTCTTAGGTTTTCAGTTTTACATTTGTAGCCTTCTGTAAGTTCAGCCACTAGATAACTCTGATGACATTGTCAGGGTCATTTTCCTGACTTGAGAAACCTTCTCCACAGATATTTTACATCTGCTTTCATAAGGGATAGTAATGATACAAAACAAATCACTAATAGGTTGAAGCTGTTTCCCTTTCAGCAACAGATACTAGCCAACAGTTGCAGCCTGTGTTTTAATTGGTAGATGGGGCGATTACAAAACAAGGAGAGTTGACATTTCCGAGGTATTGATATCTCATAACCCATGGAGACAATCTGCTGCAGTGCCTTGAATTTCTATGGAAATGTCTGTCTCTCATAATGAGCGTACATGCAGCAGAAGCACAGACACACACAGACACCAACAGCTTTTTGTAAATGCAATTTCATCTGAGGAGCAGTAACATCCTATTAACACAGCTAACAGGCTTTTCCATTAAATGACTAATCTTCTGTAAACAAACAGAACAGAGGGCTTGCACATGAATCTAAAATGTGGACAATTCACAAATGGGTTTCCTGTTGTTGCTGTGAGCCACAGAGCTCGTCAGTGGTTGTACACTGTATGATGCAACACATGATGTAAGCTTGGTCGGCTTCCAGAGCGCTCATTGCACATGAGACAGTTTCCCCCATGTCGCTGCGCTCGGAGGGCACAAAGGGTGGGACTCATCTGTGTGAAATGCAGACCCACTGGTACGACGTAGAGGTTGAGCACTCCCTCTGAGCCGCTTTTCCCTGTCACAACACTCACCCCGCTATCCACTAATCCTGAGCCCTAGGAGAGGCTTTACCCCCTTTTTTTTTTTTTTTTTTTAGAATCCCTTCTGTTATGAAGTCTCTCAAATTGCTCTATGGATTAATGTGCCATCATGACAGAGTCAGCCCAAATGAGCAGTTTTCTACCCTTGTTCTCTTCTCTGGGGTCGGACAGAAAAGCATGTGCCTATACTGTTATAAAAAATTGATGTTACAAAACCATGTACCTGTCAGTGTCCAGTGCTACCAGGGGTTTCTCGTCCGGGCTCTGGTCTAGAGAGGAGTAACCTTTGTTTGGCACGACCAACCTGAAAGAGAGCACAAAAGGCAAGTCAAGCCTTGATAAAATATTCAACACTCAAATGAGGCAAACACTCTCACACTGAAACACCCTGAGAAATATTCTAAGTGTAAGCCCCTTTTCCACCTGTCAAAAAACCCAATAACACCCACTAACATCAGGTTTATGTCTGCAATGGGAATGGATACAATCAGCCTTCAATCCCAGGTCAAATGATTCTGCAGTACACAGGTTTTAATTGGCTCCGGCTCGGACATGACACCCAGCTGCTAATTTGGCCCAACAGTGAGGAGAGAGCATCTCCGTTTTCAGTGCATTTGTGGCATTGAACATGAAAAAAAATGAATCTCCAGTGTGTTTTCTTTTCTTTTTTAAACTTCGTATGTTCATTAATTTTGGTGTAAAAGAGGTGGAATAGAGCAGTAGTTTTATCCAAAACAGGATATTTGTGTTAAGATTCACGCTGCTCTCCACTGAAGGTCACAAAACCCCAGAAATTGGGGCTAATCTGTAGCCGTCAGACTGTAGACATTCCAAGATTATCTGCCAGCCTCAGAGCCATTGGTAGCCTTTCTTGTATTTCCCCTGATCCACTGGGGAGTGGGATTAGACAGATGAGTCAGTTGCCAATACAGTGGGTTGTAGCGGGTTTAAGCTCAGAGCTTTGACTCTTTTATCAGTGTTTCAGTTCATCCCCCCACCCCCCAAAAAAACCATTACATTTTCTCTTCTATAAAAAGATTAAAATGTTTGTGTTTTGTTGTAACATTAGGAGGTCTGATGGCGTTTGTCTGAATATAAAGCCTTTAGTGGCAAAGAGTGCAGACCGTGTCTTTTGCATTTCAGTCAGTTGTGCAGCAGATACAAACACATAATGATTTAGGTGGTGATTGATGTATTTGTGGTTGAGTTGGTCGGCATGGAACGAGGAACCAAACAGGCAGTGGAAGCTGTTACCTTGTCCTGGCATTCTTCTTGGGTTGTTGATTGACAGGACTTCCCACTGTGCCATTCTTCACTGATCCCTTCCTGGCAAGGTCCCTCTGTTTCTCTGGGCAACCACAGGATGTGACGTCATCAGTAAATCAATCAATGAACCTCAGCTTAGTGAGCATGAATGACAGATTTGTATGATTTTGTTTCTTAAATATCAGTGTTAGTTTCACGAACAAAAAAACTGTCAAAATTTGATAGAAATCTTTCAAGATGCAGATACGATTAAGGTGGTGGCTGCCAAATGTTATTATCATTTCTTTAACATTGTGCGATACTATGATTTTCAAGTACTTTTAGCTGGGTGATCTTTCTTCAAATACTGTACAGGTACAAATACAGGTTGAAATCTTTGACATATTTGCACTATTATGGCAATATTTTTTCTGAAGCAATTGTAAGCTTTGTGGATCATATATACCACTGCTGTCAACACAAAAAGCCTTTGTTTTATATTGTATATGCACTATTTACTTGTGTAAAGAGTATTATAGAAGTGGCTGGCTCAATGAAACCCTTTAAAAATATTCTTCATGAATCCGACGCCAAGAAGAGGGTTAGAAGATCAGAGATAGGCAGGGCACTGGAGTGTTCAAAGTGACCAATCAAAGGAGGAGAGCATCAGCAACTTGATGAGCAGGTAAATGTCAGGCGGTGTTGAGCGGTTGCCAAAACCTAGGGAAGGGCGAGTTCATGCTTCTCTCAGCTCCATGCTCACAGAATCGCAGTTGTGCACACAGAGTAGAAATGCTAACTGGCAAGTATGGTTTTATGCTTGTGGATATTGTGCTGTGAACTTGTATCATATGCATGGGCGTAAACACATATATATTCAATATGTTGGCCAACCAGCCTTGGCGGGGCATGCTCTCTCTGAGTGCCCTTCTAGTTTTAGTTTTTAAGATATTGACTGGTGCATCTGAGGTAGGAATATTTTCACAGAACCCTGGGGACTATATAGAGATGAGGAATCCTTTCACAATGCTGTGGCAGCGCAATAAAAGAGGCAAATAAGAAATGACACCTTTTATAAAAGAAAGAAATAATCCTAGTGGAAAATCATACAGGACTCAACACCTAGTTTGTGCTTATTTGGACCATGTATTGGTGCAGTAAGACAATATTGCATTCGCAAATTTCACTGGTGTTCAGAATGCTTTCCATTCATCAAGGGGATTGAACTGTTGATTCTTGAACTGAACTGCTCACTGTTAAACCTTTACATATATCTTATGTATAGGTGGAGATACCTATTTGGACTTGCAGTGGTGATGGTTTGTAGTTCATGGCCACAGTCTCTCCCTTGGTGTCAGGGATCATCTCTGAGGTGGAGGATGCTGCTGGGTCCTAGGAGGAGAAACACATAGTTCCCAGCATGTTAGCATTATGAGTTAGCATGATTGAACAATACAACAACACTAGCAACTAACATGTGACACTTTCTGCCCCCAGGTCCCTGAGGTCATTTTTCACAGCAGCCCTCTCTGTTGCTGCCTCCGAGCTCTGCAATAGTTTCCCTTTCCTTTCTGCATCAGGTCTTTTAGTATGAATGGAGATGGGGGCCGGAACAAGTACACAACTCTAAATGGACACTGAACGCTAAAAGTATGGTCAAACCTTAAATCCCATTTTACTTTTTCCATTTCTTTTTAACTTATCTTCTATTCTTCCCGTTGCTGTGACTGTCAAGCATTTTGGTTCAACTGCTGATGTTTTTAATGTGTTACAATAAATAAATCTTACTTGACTTGAGCTTAAGTCTTCAAAGACCGTCATAGTCGTGGCTGCACAGTTTGCTAATTTGAACCAAAGTTTACTTTCTAGTAACACACTTCCAATTAACTTGTGCCATACTTCATTTGGGCATGTGAAATTGAATGCAGCCCTGAGGGCACAATCAACTCCGTACTGAACACAGCCCTTCAATTTATCACAAGGCTGCAGGCCCACATCATCATGAAAATCTGTGGGGTTATTTTTAGAACCTTGGGTCCTATACCCTGGCAAGATTCCCTCAGACTACGGGCTACTATAGCTGCCTACTTTGCAGCATCAATAGGCCTGAGTGTTCTGCTTATGTTGCTGGCCCTGCCTCTTTTATGTGCGAGCAGTGATGGCATAGGGAGGAGGCATGGGAGAACAGAGGGGGTTGCTGTTGGAGCCACGGCTTCCCCAGATTGAGAGAGGGGAGCTGGACTCTGCTGAGCCTGTTCTGCTGACAGACCTCCACATTATGTTGATCCCACAGGCCGTCCCTTGTTGCACTCAGGGACTCCACGAGCCACATGGGCGAGGGCGAGCAGGAATTTGGCTTTCAATAAATCTGTAGTCACTAAATGGGAATAGCTGCTATTTTTTAAGGACACATATGGCAATCAAATAACTGGAGCCAAACACAATTTTGTACTGTCAAGGAAAAAAAAATAATATAGGCTCACTCTACTGCTTTATATTGAGATTAAGTATATCTTTTAATCATGTGAACAAAATATAATCGAAGTGTTAGACGTAAGAGGCCCAGGTGAGTTTGTGCTTCCTGAAAAAATGATTGAAAACCCAAGTGCCTTTGATGATTGTGAGAGGGGATTATAAAGTAAATAGATCCATTATCCAGGCACAGATATGTCTCAACCTATTTTGTCAAAACCTTTTCATATTATTATTGTGAAATTCCACAGTAATCCAGGCCAATTTTACAAGACCAATAGAGCTCATCCAATATCACTGTACCTGATGAAAAATTCATGAGCATTTAGCACAGACGGCGAAAAGCTTATTTTGCATATCAATTTTCATGTAATGTGTTTAAAAACAAGCTGTCCACTATGTCACAATTTGGTAAAACTGCAGCAAAGCATTATATGTTTACATTCTTGTGAAGTATAGTTAATGCATAGTAAATTGGATTATTGTTATCCTAGCAAAAGGTTGATATCCTTTTCTAGACACCTTTATTGATAAGGGAGAGAGAACAGAAAAGACACACAATGCAATGGGTCAAGTCAGAACTGAGCCTGCAGCTGCTCCAGGAGGACCCAAGCCTCTTAACACACATGCCCACAAAAAAGGTAGACATCTTATAAATGTTTCTCAGCAGCCAATCATTGTGATCCATCTCTTTTCTTTACAGAAATGTATCTCATTAGACCTCCACCAAGGCTCAACAGTCTCCTTATGAAACCAGCAATCCACTGGATCAGGATTTTTATTTAGATTCAAACCAATTTCCACACACTCACAAATATCAGTCCTCTAAACCTGCCTGATTTTTTTTTTGCCATCAAGATCAATGAATTCATTTCTGAGAAATCTGTAAAAAGGTCAAAAACTACCCTGTCTCATGATATTAAAAGAAGTGATTGTCCAGATCTTCGTCAAAAGTTAATAAGTTCTTCGAATGTGAATGTCCCACCCTTCAACCATGTGTCAATAAAATTGGTTCAGTAGTTTTAGCATAATCCTGCTCGTAGCAATGAAAACCTCTTTGGTGGAGGTAAAATAGCAAACTGTAAGGTTTTATTATTAATGCAGTCTACTGCAGCCAAATATACCTTCAATGCATAGAACAGCCTCATCTGGTGATGAAGCGTTGTTCACTTGGCCGGAATAATTAATGATAGCTGCAACAGTGGAGACAGTACTAGCAGGAGCTGTGAAAGCACAGCACGTAGACCAAGTATTCCCACTTTAACAAGCACAAATGTGAGCTCTTTCTGTTCTGCAACAGGCCCTTCCCTCACATCACAAGACTTACCCACAAGCTTCCCTTTCTACCACAGATAAATCCTGTAATGAGAAAGGGTCATATCGTCTGTCAGATATATCCGTTTGATTTTTTTTTTCAAAAAAGCTTGCAGTGAATAATTAAAGAGATACTGTGTTAAAGCTGTTTGGTGACAGAATTCCATGATTGTTTCTTGAACAATCACTGACAACAAGGTAGGCTACAATAAACAAGTTTAAACTCCTCTTGAAGTATAAAAGCTTGCATTAAGTTAGTAGAGATGTTCCAATGTTGATACCAGTATCGGAAATGCCACCACAAAAATGCCGGGTTTGGGCATCAGTGATTAGGAAAATCCATATACCATTTCAATACCACGTCTTTAAAGTATATTAGTTTCAACAAAATAAAACTCCAAAAATCTCCTTTTCCTTACCGCACCAAAACTGCAGTTGTGCTGTATGCGGTCAATGGTAAGTACTGTTTTTAGAGTGCCACTGTTAAAATATGTTATTTAGGATGCTATCTTTTTTTTTTTAAAGCAATGGAATCCGATCGGTACTCTGTATAGACTAATACGCAAAGTCCAGGCATTGGAATCAGTATCAGGAAAGGAAAAGTGGAATCGAACCTGCTCTATACGGTTTTATGTTTTGCCTCAATAAATGCTCCCAATGCTTGATCAGTGAGAAGTAAGTCCTTATTGGACTATGTTCGGTCATCCTTTTGGGTCAAGTAACAGGTACTGGCATTGTAGAAAGTCAACAAGGTCACTTAAAACATACTTTACATTAGGAGCCCACAGATCCCTGAGAGAGCATGTGCTACTGGTCACTCGCAAATCAACTTGAACTATGACATTGGGGGCGACACATGTTTTTATGTAATAAAAGTAAAACATGACCTGTCGCCCTGACCTTCAGTATGTATTCATATATACCTGCACTCACTTAAGGTCATCGCCCCTCACACACTATCACAAACACAATGTGTATACCCATCCATGCATCACTTTCATCAGCTTGTCCTCTTGTTAGCGACTGCTTTACTGCTTCTGATGATGAAGAGCCACAAGGTTGCTGACTCGGCACAGACAGAGCCACTGGTGGGATTATACATCATGGCCTCCCACTGGCCAATAGCAGCGAAGACTGATACATCAGGTGACCATTAAAACTGTAGCATGTTATCCATATGAATGATAATGGTAACTGGGCCACACTGGAACCCTGATGTGATTAAAGGCAAACTGCCATACTGACATTTGGCAAACAGTAATTATACAAA